ACCAATAAACCTTTTCCTTGCCCTTGTAGATTTTGTGTAGGGATAGCAGTGAAGGTAACAAAATTATTTTAGAACTCCTCTTTGGTAGACTCTTTAGGTTTCTGTTTTCCAGGCAGCAAGTAAAGCTCTTCTTAGTTTTAACTAAAGATATGTAGCTCTGATTTAAAATTATTTCCTCCAGAAATGGGAAAATTTGTGCTAGGAAATAATTTGTCCCCAAAGCACACACTGAAAAAGTTTACCTTTTCCACTCTTGCATATTTTTTAATGTCAATCTCCTTCCGACCATTTTCCTCAAACTGTACTGTCTTGACAGCATCCAGGGCAATGTTGCAAGCCAATGAAGACCATCGACTGATTGCTTTCGTTGTAATGGAGCTGTTGATGATGTTCAGCATCATATCACGGTTACTGACGTCAACAGGGGTACTAAAGAAAAGAAGGCCAGGTCATGTGCTCAGTGGCATCCTCGATACTTACCAACAACCCCCTGAGCTGTACCTTGGTGACTATATAATAATGGGCCAAGAGGCAGAATGGAGGGATATGTTCCTTTGTAGGAAAATAAAAGGAGCATCAATAGGTTATCTTGGACCAGGCAGCTCATGCCTATAATCCCAGCACTTTGGGAGGCTGAAATAAGGATGATATCATCTCCCTTTTCTAAAACATTCATTTTTACATTTAATCACATACTTAGTATAACTGACAGATGAAAGGCCTTATTTTCACCCCAGGCTATTACCTCATTGTTTATGCCCTTAGTGTTCTTATGTCACTGTTTTGTCTGTGTCTGATTTGTCTCCCTAACAAGATGATTAAACACCTAAGAAACCATGTCTTACCTGTCTTGTGTATGCCCTAGTACAGTGGTAAGTAAGCATGTAGTGAGTATCAGTTAGAACTTGTAAAAATGTATAGCAAATTAGATTTTAGGTCATCCCACTCCTGCTTGGTTTCCCTTAGTCCTTTTACGGTTTCTTTTCTGTCTTATGCATCTTTCTGATTTATAATATTCAGGGTAGGGACTCATCACCTGCTTTCATAGAACTGGCACAGAGATCTCATTGGAAAGGCTATCCCAGCTAGGCGCGGTTGCTCATGCCTGTAATCTGAGAACTTTGGGAGGCTGAGGATAGAGGATTGCCTGAGCCTACGGGTTTGAGACCAACCTGAGCAACGTGGCGAGACCTTGTCTCTACAATAAATAAAAAAATTAGCTGGGCATGGTGGCACATGTCTGTAGTTCCAGCTACTTGGAAGGTTGAAGCAGAAGGATCGCCTGAGCCCAGTAGGTCGAGGCTGTGGTGGTCGTGAGCAGTGAGTTACTGCACTCTAGCTTGGACAACAGAGTAAAACTGACTCAAAAAAAAAAAAAAGACCATCCCTTGTTGGAATGAGCTCTGATTTAGTTCCAGCCAAAAAGGAAGGTAACACTGTGCCTTTTTGTACAGCAAAACCCTCCCCCAGCTTTATTAATCTTCAGGCAAGCTTCCCACCAACCACTTTTCTGAACGTCCGGACAACAAAGCTGCCCTCAGGTAAGGATGTAGGAAGAGTTTCCCAAATTGACTCAGCAGGGGAAGGAGTTGCATGGAGGAAGTGGCCTGAGCTTATTCTTACTGATCTAGTGCCAAATCTGTGTCAGGCCACCTCTAGATGTCCCATTGGTAGCTGTTGATTATTTAGTTCTATTGCTTGTATTTTCTTCCCAGTTCTACCCATTTCTGTTGTTTCCCTGCTTACTAGCACCTTTACTAGACAAGGCAGGAGTGAAATGAAACTCTTATTGCTTGCTAGTAATGTTAGTAAAAAGGTGGCCAGGAAGGAAAATTTCAGTTTCTTTGGTTTTCCATTGTTCATTATTCCCTGGGGAGGTCAGTGAGTATTTGGCATACCTATGGGGAGCCCAAAAGGGCACTAGACAGTCCAAAAAAGAAGTCAGGACTAATACATATACAAACAACAGATAACATAACTACCGAGGTTAATTAAGAGTTGGCTGTGTATGATATAGTTAAAACATTAGAAAAAGAATGGACGGATGCCGCAAGAGTGGTTGAAGTTAGACAACAGGAAGAATGTCATATTGCTGCTAATGACACTGTCGGGTAAGAGAAGGAGGCTGACATATCTCCTGAGCTTTTTTTTGGGGGGGGAGGGGGGGAAAGCAGAATTTATTGAGAGGACAGAAAAGCTCCTCCCAGAGTGGGAGGGAACCCGAGGGGGTTGTGCGGGGGCCAGCCCCAGCAGAGAGATTTAGGGGATCCCTGGGTAGGTGTGCTGGTGTTGGCGATTATTCTGGAGAAATAAAGAGAAAGAAGGTGGGGGAGAAAGAAAGAGACTGAACCCTGTCTAGTGTAGAAGCCGATTTTGTAGGAGGGATAGATATTAAAAGAAAGAAAGATGGAGGGGTAGATATAAAGAGAAAGAAAAAAAGTGGACAACTGTTTAATGAATTGAGCAGAAGCCATTTATTGGAAGTTACAGCGGGTATTTATCCCCAAATTTTACATAGACGGTCTCACAAGTCTTTCACATGAACACAAAGCCAGGTGCAGGAGGGGCGTCCCCCACCCACCAGGTGTTTCCTCAGGCATGAGGAAGAACAATCCCAATTAAATCACAAAACTTATATGAACACAAAGCCAGGTGCAGGAGGGGCATCCCTCACCCACCAGGTGTTTCCTGGAGTATGAGGAAGGGCAATCCCAATTAAATCACAAGACATTTACATGAATATAGAGCCAGGTGGATGAGGGGTGTCCCTCACCCACCGAGTGTTTTCCCAAGCATGAGGAATGAGGATTCCAAAACTATCTCACTGTTCCTCATGCTTGGTTAATATTTTTCAAAAGCAATACAACAATTTTAATATCGTAATATTCTAATAATCAATAACTTTTAAAACCTATGCATACGCAACACCTAATAACCAACCTAAATCCCAATGCCTCTCTATTTTACGTTAATTTTACCTACACTATAGAAACTCTTAATTATAGCCCAAACCAATTCCTAAGGAATGTGGCCCAGTCAAAAGATCATGCTGGGCCGTTTCTGGGAACAATAGATTACAATCTCTTAATAAAATGGCTGTTTCAAAATTCTATAAATCTATTTTAACTTTTTTTTTTTTTTTTTTGAGTTGGAGTCTCACTCTGTCGCCCAGACTGGAGTGCAGTGGCCGCTCCCGGCCACCGCAGTCTCGACCTGCTGGGCTCCAGCGATCCTTCTGCCTCAGCCTTCCGAGTAGCCGGAATTACAGGCACACTACCACGCCCAGCTGATTTTTGATTTATTGTAGAGATGAGGTCTCGCTGCCCAGGTGGGTCTCGAACTCGCGGGCTCAGGCAGTGCACTCACTTCAACTTCCCAAAGGCATGGGATTATAGGCTGAGCCACCGAGCCTGGCTTATTTTAACTTTTATAAAAGTTTCTAATTCCTAATCCTGATCATCAGCAATAACGCTTCTAAAAAATAAAACCCAAATATAAACTATAAATTGCATTAAAGCCAAAACCGCAAATGTAGAAAATGGAAACAATGTAATTTCTAAAGTTAGCTGTATTCTTATTAAACTCAAAATATCACGTTTGATCATGCTTGAACTGACATAATTCACTGACGTAGCATAACCT